CGTTGCTGAAGTTGAACAATTCCATGGCGGCAGCAGCGACTGGACCAAAGAAGAAGCTTTTCCTCCTGCGAGAAAGAAAGAGAGAAACAAAGACAACAGAGTCGCAATAAATCACTCGAATGCTCACGAAGTCAAGCACGTAACGAAATGTGTGATGGGCCAACGTCACGAAGAGGACAAATAAAAAAAAGGAGGAGAAAGGAAGAGCTTCATGCGTGATTTCCACCTTTTGGGAGGGTGGGGGAAAGCCCCAAGACAGGCATGGCACTACGTGGCCATCGATTCATAGTTTCCGAGGACAAGTGCTACTTTGGGTACGTCAGCGACGAAACTAAAAAGGTAACGCATCAACACGACGGACGGGTTTCGGTTCTAGCCCCCGCAATATCCGAACGGTGACGGTGTTCTTGATTTTCAGGAGTGCTGCGTTCGTTCCGTCTCTATGTTTTTTTCCAGCTGACGCGAGTCTTAGGCTGGCTTATGGATCACGTGACCGATCTGTCAACTTGTTTTGAACGGGTTACGTGCGGCCCGTCTCGGCTCCCTATTCTTTTATATCTTATATTCCTAATTTCTTTACATTGGATCTTCTTTTGTCGCAAGATGAGTATTCGAACACTCGCCATCGTCTTCTTAATAAGGAATTTCACTGAACGCGACTGTGAAAGCGTTTTCAGTGCATGCGAGAGCGTCGATGTACACATAATTGCCTCGTGTGGTTTGCATAGTAAGTTAACTCATTGAAATTTCTAATCTTGAATAGCAACGCGGGACGGAGATGAGATAGCTTCAACTGTGGCGTGACGGAGATGGAGATGCAACCTCACCCCATCTGCCCTACCTGGCCCCCTCGCATCGCCATCCCTATGTGGGGCTTCGAATTCTCTTCTCGATTGATCAATGATCGTGCATGTTTGGGAGGATATTAGTAGCTAGACATATATATGGACTTACCCGTCTACCCGAATTTTCATTTTCATATATTATACATTTAATGAAGGTGAGATAAGTGAGGAGGAATCCTTGTATCATTCTATCGTATTGATTAGATGCAATCACAGAGGCTTAGATAGCAAATATAGTATACTCTTAGGAAGGACATAACGTATGTGGAATTCGACAAAACAAGACGTACGAAAATATATGAACTTCTGGTGATTGCTATAAATATGAAATCTTGTACAATGGATTGTCAACTTTTGACGTATAAAGTAGAAGCTAACCATTTGGATCAGCTTCATTCTTCCGAGCTTTATCCCCACAATATTATTCTAAACATTCTTGACGTCTTATGTATATTCCTGATTTTACAATCCAAAACAATTTGTGGTCCTCTATTATTTGTGATAAAAACCACTCATGTAAAAGGCCATTTTGTTTTCATTCGAGAGTTCTATGTGTGCTTCCTTGAGACCCTAGAAAATAGACAAAGTTCATTTTCTTTTCTAAGAAACATGCATAATATTGGTCACGACAAATTAAAACAACAATTGTAATGCTTTCAGACTACGCAGATGATTTCCTGCTTTGGGACTTCCTTAATAAAGCAGAGATGTCATAGACACTCTTACATGGTTTCAGGGATTAGTTGGGGGTTGAAGGATGTCTTGGAAACGAAAGAAATGCCTTTTCTGACCGTAGAATACGCGGTTCTCGTGAACATCGACACCAGAGCCGGTGTTCTAAATCCACGATTTTCACATTCAAAAAGAGCTCAAGAATGAATTCCAGAGCTCCAAAACTAATGCGTACGTCCATGAAAATGTTCTTAGATTGCTCATAAAGGAAGAATCAATTGCCACACAAAAAAGGAGAGAAAAGACTGCACTCACACACCTGGCTTGCGGAGGTGAAGTTGGCGATGGAGATCAAGAACGAGAGGCAACAACGAGACGGCCAGAGAGGCACGTATATATAGCAAAACTAGCATTTGCGGAAGTGCGTGGGAGCGTCGCTTTCCGACGCCAACTTGTGCATGCACTGTGCAATGGACCGAGACCTTCCTATTCTGATGACATTGGATGTGGGATGATTTTTAGTGGGATAGGAGGAGAGGTCGTGTTAGGGTTTTTGTGCGCCACAAATTTCTTCACCACGGGTTCCTCCATCATGTTTTAGGTCATTTTCAGTGGCATAGCGATGGTTTCAACCTCAGGAAAACCTTAGGAAAACGATAAAAATGTGTCGTCCGTTTCAGGTTCTTTGGCTGTCAATTGAGGACTGATAGATTGACACTCCAACGTGCGTATGTTCATACACGTTCACAAGTTAAATTCCAAGAAGTTTCGTCACGAAGCACAAGGAGCAGCAACCCCGAATGGTACGTTTCTAGAAAAATTTATAAGCGTCACTCACTCTCGAAGCGTACATACATATAGAGCATCCGATCAAGTAAGGATCAACACTCGCACGACTGGTATTTGTCCATGAGGCACTACTTAGGTAACGTTATATTAGGTGCAAAAGCAAAACATCTGAGGGAATCAGTAAAATGATCGAGATGTCGTTACCTAGATTAAGTCCACAAATTGTTCGTTAAAAAATATAGTATATCGAACTCAAATTGAGCTGGTACTTTGATCGGCTGATCAACTAACTGCATATGTTTATCAAGATCGATTGTGTACAAACATGGAAAGAAACTTGTTCAGCAGCGATGGAGAGAGCACTTGGTGTTCTTCAATTACAAGCCACAAAGAAGAATGCGACAAGAACACAAATAGGCTCGAAAAGGGCCGTAGTGCCCTCGCGGTGACCCGAAAGTAATTAGAACGTAGGAATTTTATTGTCACCAAATGGTTTGAAGTATAAATTCATGGTCTTAATGGACAAAGTGTGGATGTGTATGCTAGCTAGTAGGGCTGAGCGGTTTTGGGTTCCGTCCAGGTTTCGCCTGAAACCTACTTGTCGGAACAGGTTCCCTAATTTTTTGAACCTGAAACTTACTTTGCATATTTAGGAACTTGGGATCTGCCCTATCACAAGTTCCGGGGTCTACCCAGGTTGCACCTATACTCTTAATTGAACGTTTGCTATGAATCATCACCTCTAATGACTACCATTTGCTACAATCCATTGATGACACATCTTTAGACACATGAATACGAAACATTAACAAAGTAAAAGTCTCAGTCATGGATATCGCTGGAAATGGAAGCTTATACTAGTGGTTTCAAATTATACACTCATCAATGGACGCCATAGAATACTGCAGGATTGCGCGAAGACATAGAATAGGGAAAACACAAAAACTTATTCCAGGTTCTAGGTTTCAGGGAACCTACATATCGGAATAGGTTTCCTAATTTTTGGTACCTGGAATCTACCATGCATACCTCTACTGTCTAGGAAGGGATAACTGCAAGAAGGTCTCGCCATAACATTGCGCGAAAGCTCAGCTCTAAAGTCCCAAAGAACTCCAAAGCACGAAACTACTTCCGGATTTCACACTCAAGCCAATGAACCCACGTTAACCAATCATAAACCTACAGAGTTCTAGAGCAACAATTACTCGTTCTTCCTAGACTGTGTAGTTGGTATGTGTTTTGTCACACAAAATCATCTAATCACATGAGAAATTTTTTGTTATCAAGGAACTAATCAAGCAAATTGCATGATTATCGCATGCGACGCACCTCCTCTAGGGTTTCCTCCGCTGCTTTGTGCGTTCTCTCGTGTGCTCCCCGGTAGGTTCGGGTTTTCGAGTCGTATGATGGATGATGATGCTACGAGTGATGGTTTGGGCCTCGAGGACTTTTTAATCCCCCGTCATTAAAGAAAGATGAATTAACTTACTTCAAAATCCGAAATTATCTTCTGGGTTTCAATCTCTTTGATGATCACCTCTCCTAAACAAATTAATTTATATAACCCAGGTGGGATTAAACTTTCCTAAGCCTATGTTCAATTTACAAGAGGCGGAATCCCAGAACAATATATACAGGTCATGAAGAATTTGACTTCGTGGCGCACCTGAAATTTCGGGTTTATATTCAAAAAGCGCAAAAATTTAGGGGTGAAAAGATATAGTTGGCACAACATATCTAAGCAAATCTAAAGTCTAGAATATTAGTCTAGTTGACAAGTGTCCTTTTAACGAGCGAATTTCGGGCACTAAATAACAAAATCTCTTTTCGGTTGATGACTTTATTTGAAGTGCGACGTCGGTCCAAAACATGTTTTCTGTGCCCGATTTAGATGGTTAAGGTAATGGAGAAATCGAGGCACGACTTCGAAACATTACCAAATGCTGGTATTTTTCAAATTCAATGTACTTTTCAAGCATTACCCAAAATTAGGAGATGATCGGTTGAACCCTCGATGACTTATTATCTTTTGTACTCAAACAAGAAAAACCTAACGAAGCACCTGCAACTTGGTTGAACCGCCTTCGGTTTGCAAGATCATCAATTCCAGAAGGAGGCATGTAATCTTGTTTTTCCATTGCAACTGAAATTATAATGTAAGAAACCACCTGAAATTCAGAAACAAGATATCCAACCATCAGAAAATACATATAAAACAAATTAAAAAGATAATACCAATTTAAATAGACCACTGTTTTAGTGGTTATTTTACTTCAGTTTGAACAATTGCTATATAAAGAAAAGCCAATTGTGTTCGATTTCGACTCCAGTTTCCTGCCTTCCGATCAGCAATTTGGTTCCAACTGACTTGTTAGGATTTTGTTTGAAATTTTAGTTGACCCTCCTTCCTCTCCAAATAAGAACCTAACTCTTGTCATGCATCCTGATTGATCCCCAGGCTGCTTCCCACATGAGGATTTTGTCCTTTGGCTTGATAGTATCATTGGCTAGGACTCTCTCCCTTTCCAAATCTCCTTGCTGGAAGGGACAAGTCCAATTGCAAGGTGTGTGAGTTTTCTTACTAAAGAAAGTTACATCCATGTTCAAGGGAATTCATCTACTTAAATTCGCAGCTTTTAGTCCATTCTTTAAATCTATTGTTGAAGGCATGTCGAACGTTTTGCGGATTCTAGGATGAGGGCGACGACAGAAACCGCCTTCAGTTTGCATAATGATTGCGAAGCGTCTGATACACGGAAGCGGCCAAGATCCTCCGAGAGCAATGATGACGCTCCATCCACAAAGTTCATAGGGGTGGTGCCGCAGCCAAATGGGAATTGGGGCGCGCAAATATATGCCAATCAACAGAGGATATGGCTCGGTACGTTTCGGACCGAGAGGGAAGCGGCCATGGCTTATGACAGCGCTTCGATCAAACTTAGAAGAGGGGACTCGCAGAGGAATCTCCCGTGGACCGACCTTTTGAGGCACGAACATGAGTTCCAAGATAATCTCGCTGCGGAAGTAGTGTTGGACATGATTAGGGCCGGGACGTATCGGTCGAGATTGATGGAATTTCTTAGGAAGCAGTCAGGAAATGAGGAAACAGCGGAAGTAGTCATCAACCCGAAGTTAAGATCGATGCCAACCGGCGGACAATACTTGTGGAGGCAACTTTTTCAGAAGGAATTAACGCCAAGCGATGTAGGGAAACTTAATAGGCTCGTCATCCCCAAGAAGTATGCCATTAAATATTTCCCTTGCATTAACGAAAACACCGAAGGAAATGCATTGCTTCATGGAGGGACTAACGATGTTCAGATAGTTTTCTACGACAAGCTCATGAAGCTATGGAAATTCCGGTATTGCTATTGGAAGAGTAGCCAAAGTTTCGTATTTACGCGGGGTTGGAACTGGTTCGTGAAGGAAAAAGAGTTGAAGGCAAAGGACATCATCGTATTTTATTCGTATGACTGCAATGAAATGTATGAAAACGGCAATACTTTTGGTCTAATCGATGTACAATATAATCGTCGTCACGGTCGTCATGATAACAAAGGGATCAACGATCTGAATGAAGTTGGTATGGGGGTAGAATTGCCATTGAATTTGGGAAAAAGTTGCAGATACACGAAAGCTGAGCATGAGGAAGAACTTGAGAAGGAGACAGCAAAGAAGTTGGAGGGTAGTAGTTTTAGGTTATTTGGTGTGCAACTGATTCAAGACGTGGAAAACAAAAAGTAAACGAGCAAATTGTACTTAAAGATTAACATCTAAGATCAATTTGGAGGATTTAATAGTTGACGACTCTCAATCTATGTTTCGATGTCTATAAGACCAATAACAGTCCAATATCAGAACGTTCTACAAATCACTCATCTTCTATCCGCGAACTGAATTCCCGAATCTTTATCTGCTACTTGCTATATTCACTATTCTTCTGAACATGTTGTTAGATTATAGAGTTAGAAAAATACCCTTCAAAACCCAATTGAAACTGGCTTTGACGTATATAGCTAGCATCATGAGTGAAGCAATAACAGGAAAGCGACGGCGATAAGGACTTGGCAATACGTTGCACCCTGCGACTCATCTGACTTATCGAATCGGAAAGGAAAAGAAAGAAAATCGAATGGCCTTATTCGAAAGATATCTTATCAGGGATCGATTGACCTCTGTACAGCGGAACTGTGTCCGGTCTTTGGATTTGGAAGCCTTTCCAATTTCCTGCGACCCCGAACGTTGGACGGCTTATCAATCTGGTCCAACACCGAGGACAATCCAATGCGCGAGCGAACAAAATTCCACTGCAACTGATGCAGTGGCCAACGGAGAAAATGAAAAAGGAATCGCCAGCGATTGATGTTCCTTTGATGGTAAATATGTACGAGAATACAGGATCGATCTTGTTGGATTAGATCATTGAATAGTGTTATGGCCATGGTCGATGAACGTGTGGCTCAAAGCTCCTTCAAACGGAGAAATGGATGAGCCTACTCTTGATGGTGAATGTCCACCAACTCTGATAGCCTCCTCCGGCAGAACCGGCTTCATGCTTCATTTTGTTGGGAAAACTACCAGAAAGTTTTAAACCTATTACGTTACAAATTCAGTCTTAATCATTTCAATTGGACCATCGGTGCCAATTCAGTTCATCCGGCTAATTTAGGCTGAAAATTGCTGAGGTGAACAACGGCCGTCCTACGTGGCATGGTTGGCGCTGATGTAGACATGGCATCGAGGGTGGCTCTCCCTTAAGCAAGGCCAGCCCTTGCAAGGAAGGAAAAAAAAAAGAATAAAAAGAAAGAAAAAAGAAAAAAAAGTATTAAAAAATATCCACTCCAGCGTCAATTGTGTTACTTAAGCTGGCTGGCGTCCACATCAGTGATTTATAGTCTAAATTAGTTACATAAACTCAATTGATACAAATGTGAAAATGTTTAGGACTAAATTGGTCCAATTGAAAGGTTTTGAATTGTAATGAAATGGTATCAATATAATAGATTTAGGACTTCTTAGGCACTTTTCCCTCATTTTGTCTGTGGTCATTCAAAAAAAAAATTGACTGATAATAAAAACAATGAAAATATTGAATGAATTAAAGAGGGATTGGACGAGTGGAGCGGAGCAAACATTGTTAGTAGGAGAACACATCAATTATCAACAACGATGAATTCGACACGGATGATTTTCCATTTTCTTTCTCCAAATTTTCTTTTGTAACATCATCACTCGCTTCGAGAATAACCGCTTAAACATTGCAGTTTGCCATGGCCAAAGCGATCGAAGAATTTGGACACATCACGTACATATAATTTGAGAAACAGGTCGTTTCGGGTCAATCTCATCCATTTAAGTGAAAATTAAACTATCAAATTCACCTCATAATTCGACCCAAAAAGAATCACCTCATAAATAGTAAATACTAACATTATTACATCATAATTTTCATTATTATTTTCCTCTTCCTTTTTTGGGTTCAGTAACACTAACGTAGTTAACAGCTAAACTCATTCGCAGTAGACATGGCCACGGGCCGGTTTCGGCCCGGAACCGGCCCAGGTCAAACCCGGGACCGGTCCGTTGACCGGGCCCGCGGTTCGGAACCGGAACTGGCCCGTGGCCTACGGGCCCGGGCCCGGTTCCAAAAAAAAAACTGCAGATAAGTGAAGAAACTCTTTTTTTCCCTAAATTTGATTACAATGTACATTTTGATTATATTTTATATTGAATAATTCATTATTTCATAATTTGATAATTCATAATTTTTTTATTTCATAATTTATTTTTTTAATTTTTACTGGCCGGTTCCGAACCGGGCCGGAACCGGAACCGGCCTGGAACCGTCGGTTCCGAACCGGAACCGGCCGATTCCGAACCGTGGCCATGTCTAATTCGCAGGATGGAGCTTGTCTGATTTTTATGGATCTAAAGTCTTGGCCCATGGGCTTTTCAGATTGCATGTCCAAACGGTCCAAGAGAAAGGGCACGTTGTGTCGATGTGATCGAGCTACGAGTCCACACGATTCTACCGACCAATCAAATGCAACAATCGATCATAATTTTTTAGGTTTTATCATGGGACATCGTTTATGAAAACCATGTCATAGGAAGTGCATAAGACGAATGCTATCACGTTAGCATACCGCGTCTAGGGGACAAATCAAATGTCGAGTTGGATCGGGAAATCGAATCAGCTCTAAAAGGATGTTGTGAAGAATGATCCAACCCTTTTCTAATCTGATTCTTCTTCGTGTTGTTTGAACGTATCGATTGAGTACTAGAAAACGCAAAAATGCTACGTCACAATAACCGTTGCTCGAATTTGCTTGCATCGGAACGTTTTGTGATTTTTGATTTTAACATAGTTTAAAAGATGATAGTCTATACCACCCGCCATGGGCGGCACTTGGGGCCTTTCTTCCTCTCGTAAAAGGTTGAGTGTTCGAATCCCGGGCGCAGCAGGTGACTAACCGGTGGCACGTGTGTGGTGGCTAGCATGTGTCCCGCCCGGGGTTTACTCCGTGCCGGCCGTGCGGGGTTCCTGGGTTACCAAAAAAAAAAAAAAAAAAAAAAAGATGATAGTCTATTAGTCGGGCATCATATTGGTTTGAGCCTTGCTCGGCGGCGCGACACCTCGGTTATAAAAAAAAAAAAAGATGATTGTCTATTTACTCTTTACTTTTACTCTCCATCTCAACAACTTTAAATTCGCATGGGCCATGCTAGGTCCGTTTGTTTCGCAAAATACGAATCATCACTTAAAATGATTAGTAAAAGAAGTTTTTTTTCATTATCGACAATAATTTATGTTTAAATATTTTCCTAAATGATGTAATTTTTTTTCGTTCATCATTTTATAAGGGAAACAAGCGAAGAAAAATCAATGATTAAAAAATTATTTTAAAAAAATAATTATTTATATCCTTTTAAAAAAAAATTAGGCAATGAAAGGTAATTTAATTATTAATAAAAACTCATATCTAAACAATTTCGATAACTATGAAAGTATTTTATATAAATTCATTTTTGTAAGCGTTACGTGCGTTCGACCAAAAAAAAAGCGTTACTTGTGATTATTTTTTATGATATAAATTAAGGGTGTGCATCGGTCTCGGTTCAATTCGGAAACCAGACCAAACCAGCCGGTTCTTGATGGTTCTTGGGAGAGAGCGGTCCAATTTCCGATTCCATAAAAATTTGGAATCGGGAATAACCGAGTTAGTTTTCGATCCCACATAAGGAACAAGATCGATTGGGTTGCTTGGATCGGATTGACGGATTGCCCAAAATTTCTTAATTTTTTAATCTCGAAACAAACCCTAATTAGTAAATTATTTTTTCTCTTAATGTTGGGAAACTCTCACTCGCCAGAACAAGAAGAAGAAGAAGAAATAAAGGGTTTGGAACTGGGTCGGTTTGGTCCGATCCGGCTCTCGATTCTACAAATTGGAAACCGATCCTAATGTAGGGTGGGAAGCGACCCGCTTTGGTACCCATCACCTGTATAAATTATAGGAAAAAAAAAAAACTTATTTTCATTTTTTTTTTACTTTTTTTTTTTTTTTTTTTTTCTTTCCAGTGGGCCCTCGAGGGCCCTCAGGGGGACTCGACGCCGCGAGGGCGCCCTCGCCTCCGGTCGAGGCCCCGCCGACGCGGCGAGGGACCTGACCCATCACAAAAAAAAAAAAGAAAAAAAAAAAAAAAAAGCAAAAACAAAAAAGACTAAATACATGAATCTCAATTATAACATGAATCACTATTTTTGGGCGAATCTAACGCACCATGAATAGATTAATTTTTTAAAAGAATTAATCGTAGCATTCCGGCGGAAAAAAAATACAGAAACATATTTTCATGAGGACCATCGTCATCAACCTTTCCCTTTCTCTCCATAACTGAGTACAGAGGTGGGTTTTACTACCCCCATCTCTCCAACCATCGCCAAACACCAACCTTCCCACCCTCTCTCTCTCTCTCTCGACCCTCTGCTCTACATTAAACGCAAACCCAAAACGCGATTTCCTTCGCGAAATGTCGAATTACACCGTCGAGTCCTGCAAGGTGGAGTCCGCCGACCGGGTCGTCCTCCACACCCGGCTGTTCAAGCCGCGGGAAGGCCCGGCCGCCGGCGACGGCGGCGGCGGCGGCGGCCTGGGCGTCGTACTGGTGCACCCCTACACGGTGCTCGGCGGGTGCCAGGCCCTGCTGAGGGGCATGGCCTCCGGGCTCGCCGGGAGGGGCCTCGTGGCGGTGACCTTCGACATGAGGGGCGCCGGGAAGTCCACCGGGAGGCCGTCGCTCACCGGGTTCGCCGAGGTCAAGGACGTGGTCGCCGTCTGCAAGTGGGCCTGCGACAACCTCTCGCTCCGCAGGGTCCTGCTCGTGGGTTCTTCTGCCGGTACGGTTTCGTCGAAGGGATTTTGTGATTTGATCGGGTGATGTTTATGAGGGTTCTTGGGAAGCGTTGATGGGTGGCGTGATTTGGTTTTTCTCGAGTTAGATTAGGATGAGCCTGGCTTGGTCGTCTGGTTCTTAGATGGTTTGGTGAAGTATTTCGTGTTGCAGATCTACCGAAGGGGGCTTTGTGTTTCCGGCTGTTCTGCTTGTTAGATAGAAATGCGAATCGCCTTTCACCGTGCCTTTTGATGTGGAAGGTGATGAATTTGCCGTCGAAACGGTAGAAATAGGAGGTTTTGGACTATTGTTTTTGCAGATGTCGCTTTGCTGATTGAGTCGTCTCTAGTCTGTACACTGTGATCCTTTGCATTCTCGAGCTGTCTGCTTGTTGTCGATCCTTTCGCTATGATGCAAATCTTGGTCGACGAAGGTCTTCTATCGCTATATCATCTGAAAGTTTCCTTCTGGTGGTTTCGCATAGCTGCTTTAATTGTAGCTAGTCTTGGCTGACAGAGTCTATCTGATTTTTAGTCCGAGGGTGCTCACAATTTATCATTTCAAATTCGAAGTTTGGATTGATGGCCTGTGATATACATCCACATGGCTGTCTCTGAATCTCACAGATTGCATGTTGGTACTAGCCTATGAGTGTGAACCAGAAAGTTTACTCAATCCCTCAACTGTCCATCTTACAGCAGCTACCGCGTTGGATGACAATACTAGTGTAGTGTCCTCCCGTATTAGTTTCCAGTCTATTGACTTTGTTTTTAGTCTTTATTACAATCACATTAAGCATCCCGCCAAACTGGCACTGCAACAGAGTTTTCTATTTCTGTGCATATACAATAGCAATGGAGGGGTGATGTTTGCACCTATGTAGATGTAAGTGTGATGATAATAGCTAGAATTATGTATTCTCAAAGTGGTTAAAAACGCACTGAAGTTGTTATAAAGGATCAAGATCCTTTCCATTACTTTACTCAATTTAGGTGCCCAAGACCATGCTACATCACATCGAAGGAAACATTAGTGGTTGAGAATGAGATGTCATTATAAGTTATATGTCATGATCTTAAGTTAGTCAATCCTTTCCCAGAATCAAAAGGATCCCAATCCCCTTCAAAATTAAGCATCTAAGGAGGTACTTGGGCCAAAAAGATATTAGGAAAGAAGGATGATGTGCATTGCTCATTTGCTTGTGTGATGACTACTGTTGGAGAAAAAAAGAGTTGTTCCATGTACTGTGCAAATGCAGCGTTGAGACTTTTTAAATGTAGATATTAGGTTTGCAAACTGTGCATCTGTCTGCTAATCCTGATCAGCTAAGAGCTAAGAGTACGTTCTTTAAACCTGACATGAGCAGTTGCTTGTTAAGACAGAGAAGGCTGTGATGGTTATTCTTAGGAACCATCATCTTAGCCTGAGTGGGTTGGACAGAAAAAGGTGGGAGAGCACTCTATTTGCGTATCTCATTTTTCCAGCATCTAAAGAATTCAGACATTGGGGGCGGAAAGTAATAAATATTGATTCAATATGAACAAGATGGGGATAGCAGTTAAAGTTGTGAAATCTAATACATCCGGAGGCTGATTGATCCGAATATCTGCTTGCAGCTTTTTTTTTTTTTTTTTTTTTTGCATATGGAATGACCAAGTATAGAAGTTACTGAAATTGTCCACCTTATCTAAACGTTGGAAATTTCACTAAGTTACCTGTGATTATGCAGCACTTAATACTCTGATTTCGTTAACATATGGAGGTTTATTTCTTTTTTTGTTTCTCTTACAGGGGCACCAATTGCTGGCTCAGCTGTGGATCAGATTGAACAAGTCGTGGGATATGTTAGCATAGGTTATCCTTTTGGAATGATTTCGTCAATTCTCTTTGGGCGGCACCATAAATATATCTTGCAATCCCCGAAACCGAAGCTCTTCATCATGGGAACTCGCGATGGCTTTACGAGTGTGAAGCAGCTACAGAACAAGCTGAGTGGAGTGGCAGGTCGAGCTGAAACGCATCTGATTGAAGGAGCGGGCCATTTTCAAATGGAAGGCCCTGCTTTTGATGCGGAGATGGTGAGTATTATTCTCGAGTTCATTGTGTCTTTGTAATATTATTGGCTTGTTACTATCCAACAGCTGTTTGTTAGTAGTAGAGGCTCAAGTGATGCACCCATTTGTGCGCGCCATCAGTTCTGGGCCTTGTGCCCATATGCTTGCTTGCCTTATTGGTGGAGGATGTTGAATCCTAGTATTGGCAATTTGGCAGTAGTACCCGTACCTAAGGTTCCATGTTCTAGTCCTGTCTCATGAAAACAATCTGGAACAGTATGTGTCCCACACACATGCTCGTACAGACACACACAGAGAGACCACATAGAGCTTGGTGAATCATTATGTAGAAATGATATACAGTTTATATGATTATGAAAGAAGCTGTACAGAGGAACTGACTAAGGAATCAGTTTATATTCAATTACAATGACAGGTCAGCCAAACCTAACTCTAGTAAGGTTACAGGCTCAGACATTGTTTGAACTGGCTGGGACTTGAAATGCAATTGCGCTTTCAGTAAAATATGGGATGTTGAGAAAACCACCGTCTCTGGTTCTCTCCATCAGATCCAGAACTTGGTGTGCTCAAAGTCCCAAACTGCCACTTTCCTGCCCTTTTGGGAGGCTACAATCCCTTTTCATCTGTTGTAAAGATAGAAGAAAAGTACAAAGAATTGAAAATTGCACTTTGGACAATCGTGAACCGACAACATTATACCCATAAAAGTTTGCTCCCCATGGGCATCATTGAACTATGATATTTTTATTCGTCATTCAATCCAATTTCACAAATATTTGAAAAAAGAAGGGCCACTCTGAGGATGGATGACTGAAATACAATGTACAAGGAGGGACGAAAGTGAAAAATTTTAAAAAAAAAAAAGAAGAAAGAAGAGAGAAATGAAGAACTTGAGGACCGCCGAACCTGACTGTGTATACTTTGATTCTGACAAGTCGTACAGAACTAGCAATGTCTACAATGGCATGGCGCAAAATGCGTCTGAGTCGTCTCGCTCTAACTTCATATGTTAGGCTATTAGGTAAAAGTAATCAGTTATTACCACTTTCACCATCGGATGCATCTTGAAGCCTGGAGATCGCATCAACCAGGTCCATCTCCTGCTGCTGCATATCAACGCCCGTATTAGGGCAAAGGCCATGCAAGATGGAATATGATTCAACCGGTGACAAGACAGAACATCATTACCTTAAGAGTCCTCTTCGCTTCCGCAAGCAATGCCGCATCCGGCTCCGTTGCATCTAGCACTTTCATCACCTGTATCAAAGTCAACCTATATTCGTCAAATGAAATGACATGACTCTTGACCAGTTAGTCTATACGAAGACAACAGCCCACCTCCTTGATTAGAATATCTGTGTCGAGTAGTTCAATCTCGTCCGCAGACTTCCTGCCTATGCCACTTTGCGATGAAGGAAGATTCTTTCGAGTCTGTCCCTTTGTTGTCCCTTTACCTCTTCCAAGTGCAGTAGTAGCACCGCCTTTTGAAGTGGACTTCTTGACTCCCCGACTGACAGCAGGACGGCCCCCTCTATGAGAAATTCCATGGTCATTGCCTTCCCACCGGATGTCTGAGGCAGGTATCTACCATTACGACAAAAAGGAAATTGTGAGTATTTCTCAGAGATAAAAGGGAAGAGTAGTAATTTTTGAAATGCAGAATGTCCTTCTCATGATGATCTTAGGGCTGGAATACGCTATGGTTTCATGACTGGTAATAACTAGGACCACGAGACTCCTCTACAAGTCTATGCCCAACAGGAGTCTCAGTATTTGAGCAGCCTATCTGTGTGCTTGCATTCTGAAGACAGATTATCGAGGGTCCAAAACGTTAGAGAACTCGCCCCATTGACCAGGCCACAGTAGGATGGGGATGAGATTTCCCATGTTGAATTCGAAAGCCATGCTCTTTTTTCCATCCATTCTGACTACCGAGTACATAAAACATGTAAGTCGACTAAAATCAACCATTCACCTTGGCTGGCTGCTTTTACAAGGCTAGTAAGTAAGTAAGCTTAGACCACGTCTGGTTAAAATGTTGAAACAGCTTAAAGTGGCTTACCCTTCTCAAACCAATTGCTAAAACCAGCTAGTCCGGGCCCATTTTGAGTACAAGTGGCTCCGGTTAAGTCATGGTAGTCATGATTCATTACGGCACTCATCAGGATTTTCTGTACTAAAGTCATTTAGGTAATGAGGTTGAGTTGACATCCTTACCTCTCTGAGGTCAACCCATTCCCATGTTTCATTTGCTGTGTCGATATCATAGACCAATGCATGGCGACCCTATTAAAACACAAAAAGGAAGCTCAATTGGAGGTGTGTTTGCAGTGTGGACTCATTAGTAAGAATGTACTTACCTCAACTGAGTTATAATCTGTTATGACAGCCTCATAGAAGTTGTTATCATCAGGCCATCTAGTCCAAACTTTCTTGCCTATCAGTGAATCAGAGTTTGCTGCCAAGCCACGAATGGCACCTTGAGGCCTTCCACCAGCACCTGCAGTAGAGTTCTGCATGGAATTTATAGACGATCCAGCAAGCATAATATAATAAATCAAGCAAAGAGCAAAGATCCATTTGAATTCGCCATTACTTCTATATCAAGTATAGAACTCACTGATTTTGGCTTCTTACTCCTGCCTCCTGGATGAGACCCTTGTCTAAATGCTGACGGAGATGGTTGTAATGACGGTATTGCCGGAGGTGGTGCAAATGTAGACAAAGAAGCAACAGACTGTGTGGTCTTCAGTTTCTGGCGAGATGCCGAAAGATTGCGACTAGGTGCAGGTGCAGGGTCATGGATGGGCAGAGAAGTACCAGGCCTGCCTGGTTGAAGCCCGTTTGCTTTTCTCCAGTCTCTGCTCCATGATTGATTGCAGTAGTCAAAACATAAGGCTTACCGGTAACTACATAAAAATTAATCAGCAATCGTAAAATGTACATGATGTCAAGCTATCGCACCTTATCCGCCGAATAATGTCTTCCGAATGGACCTTGGAAAGAAACTCTCTATGTTCCTCGTCTGACACTCTCAGCTCTTTCCTAAGTTCAGTAATCAAACTCTGCTTATCCTGCAAAAACACCATACGATGAAGCAGCTAAGATGAAGCATGGAAGAAGAACCAACTAAAATAACAAGTCGAGTAAAGATACCCAAGTAATGGCATCAGATTGAGCCTTAAAGGCTCGAAGTATTGAACAATAAGCTTCTTGCTCAATATGGCAGATCTGATTTTCCATGTCGTTATGTATCCTGGGTAAAGGCGCAGTTCCTAAAACTGTAGATCTTCCATTTCCAGTAGTATGTCCTCTCTGGAATCTGCTCCGGTGCGGAGGAGGGAGGTCGTCATCTGTACCTGCAGTAAATTAGTAGGCAAAAAGTTTGATTTGAGATGTACCAAGTGGGCTGCATTGGTTATATTTCTTTCATTCTTCACCAGTACCCAAAAAATTTAAATATAAAACGCTTGCAATTGTATGTAAAGCTAGGTACTCAGTGGTCATGGTCAAGTTCCAATAAACCCCGAACCACTGCATGTTGCAGTTTTCCTTAACAAAAAAAGCTACCAATCTTTACACTGTAATTTGGCCAATAATCTTGGGCAAATCAGCATCATTGGTCAAGCATACAAGTAGGGGTGGCAATTTCTGACATGACGAAGGAATGCACCTTGCAGACAACATGACAAAGGAAAAAATCATGCACAAAATCCAATAAGCTTCCTCACGCATTCCAACAGCATAGTTTGAAGAGCACCAAGAGAAGTCAGAATGCTCGCAACCTATCGCAATATCTGAAAGTTTTATCACCGCCTCGGCAGTTTATATACCAAAGGGTGAACCACAAAAGGTTGAAACCCGATCCTCATTAACATGGTAAATTTATTCGCAATTATCACTGACATTAGAATTGGAAGCGCCGCTAAACCTTTTCAAGCCAATTTTCAGATGAAACAACAACAGCAGCGCCAAGCACTTTCCCAGCACCCTCACTATCTCGGACTATTTCTTACCATTCCCCTCAAAACTACAGCAAGAAACAACTCTCAAAACCACACATTCCTACACGAGCTTTCATAACCAAACCAAAACGATAGTCCTTAAACCCTTTCAAAGCCAAGTCCTTAAACCCTTCCAAAGCTTAATTATCCAGTTCCACGTACAACCCTGCACTAAAAGCACAAAAAAACTATACTTTCCATAATACCCAACAGGTTGTTTTGATTTGCTATAGAAAACATTAACAGACATCAACCGCTATGACTTCACTCTCTTCTCGAATTTAATAATTGGTTAGCAACATAAATTCCACTAATAAATTCCAAAAACGACATCAGACACCAACACCACCTTGGAAACCACAAAGCCTATCAAAAAAGGAAAGCGAGAAACTCACTGCTGCTGCTATCAGACACATCATGATCCATCCCCGTTGCTTCAAAACAAGAACTTTCGCCGACGAAGACCCAGAATTCGCTTCAACCACACTCCTAAACGCAACGAACTCGGAAGAACACCTCAAGGAAAGAGTCCACGAGTCTCGACAGCGAACCCGAACCGGTCATTAGTAAGTACTCATCGAATCCGCCTGAAAGAAATGAATTTGATGCATAAATACACGTAGAAACTGAGAGGAAGCGACGAAATCACAACACAGCGTACCGACAATCGTTCGCCCCCGAATTTTTCAAAGAAGGGCCGATTCGCGTGCAATTACCGGCAAAATTGTGGAGGCACACCGACAATCCGAACGATTGAACTTCGTTGTCACGGACTAAGAGAACTTCAACTCAGATGCGAAGGGAATTGGGGGTTGAGAAGAAGAATTTGGAGCGAGATTTATCATGAAATTAGGGTTTGGGCAGGAGAATTGCGAGGCGAGAGAGACAGAGGCTGCGAGCTGGGAATTCTTCAGTCCAGGACCGGCGAGCGGAGAGAACCGGTCAGAACTGGAATTCGTTCCCGACTCGGCCGGTTGAACGTCCGGTCCGACCCCGGTCTAGGAAAACCAAGACCCACCCCATGGAGGAGAGCTGAGGACTTCGAACAAGGTCATTGGCGAATGCAAAAAGCACACTTCCAAGGCCCGAGAGCTTTATGGTATAGATCAATGGCGTCCCAAGAGGTAAAGACAGTCCCTTCGAGAGGCCCGAGAGAAGGGCCCGTATTGTGGGATGTTATATACTCGACGCAGATATAGTTGCCCGTTTAACTTGGCCCCTTTTCGGAAAATAATCTTCGCCCTCCAAGGAATTTTTGCTTATTCGGCTAACTCTGACGTATCCAATGTCAATCCACAACATTAAAACTTTCGGCCTATCTTGGTAGACTATCGAGCGATGAAGAGGCTAAGATTATTTAGCTTCTATGAAACACGCTAAATGCATATAGTAGTTAAGAATCACCAATCAGGTCGCGATATATGTCAAGATAATTGTTGGATTTCCTTTAATAGAGAAATCTTTGGCTTCGTCTAAAGAAATGTTTACATTTCCGGCATGTGACATTCTAGATTTAATCATCAATTACTTGCTCACAATCCGAAACATAATGTTACTTTAGCCTATGAAGAGACTAGGTGCATTTGCCTCACGGAAAATGAATTATTTAAAAAAGAGTTTCCTAAAAATGATTACTTATATCGCTTGAAGTAATTGTTAACAAAAAATATTTTCATTAATCGACAACAATTTATCACTAAATATTTTCGTGGACATAATCTTCGTCCTCTAAGAATTTTTTACTTATTCGACTAACTTTGACGTATCCAATGTCAATCTACAACATTAAAACTTTTGGCCTATCTTGGTAGACTATCCAACGATGAAGAGGCTAAGATTATTTAGCTTCTATGAAACAAGCTAAATGCACATAGTGTTAAAGAATCGCTAGTCAGGTCGCGATATATGTCAAGATAATTGTCGGATTTCCTTTAACGAAAATATCTTTGGAGTTTTCCGCGACATTCTAGATTCAATCATCAATAACTTACTTAGAGTCCAAAACATAATGTTGTTTCAGCCTATGAAGAGACTAGGTGCATTTGCCTTTGATTTGGAAAAGAGTTTTCTAAAAATGATCACTTATATTGTTTGGAGTAATTGTTAACGAAAAATATTTTTATTAATCGACAATAATTTATTTTTAAATATTTTTCGTGAATGATGAAAATATTTTTCGTTTATTCATTTTAATAAGCGATGCAAGCAATATTTTTAGGATGGCGTTTTTAAAATTAGTCGTTTTTCGTTAAATAAACACATCTTAATATCATTTTGCTTGCATATTTTTTCACATTTTTCGAAGTAAATTGTTTATATGATAAATCAACTGATTAGCCGCAGTATTTTGTTGCCCAAATGGTGCTTCGACACATCTTTTAAGAGATCATGCTCCTGCAGTTCCGACCAATCCCATGGTCGTGTAGAATGAGATTTGGTTCAATGGCACTAAGGTTTTTTTTTTTGGTCGAAATGGCACTAAGGTTCACATTGTCATGTTTGATCTCTCTGGTTTGGTTGTGCTGAGTCTCTGATCGAATTCGACAGAATCATTTCGCTTTGACAATAGATGATGCCTCATGCAAAAATTTGTCAATAACTGAACCGAGCATAGCAGACATCATATGTAACCGACTAAAATGTGATTTCTTCATAAGATGAGGGACTGCTAAGTTCAATTTTTCCTTAGTTCAAAGGGTGAGGTTTTCTCTCATATTTATAAACTGACCAATAACGCCTTTCACATTGAGGACCAACAACCTTCTCCCGTATGACTGTCACTTATAAACTGACCATCAGCCCTTTCCTCAACTGATGTGGAACAACCTCAACAATCTTCTCCTCACACATCGGGTCTCGGGTCTTGGGTCGGAGCTGCAACAACCCGTAACTCTCCTATGAGAATTTTTAGCTTTTTTCACAACTGATGTAGGACAACTTCAACAATCTCTCTTTCGCACATCGGGCCTTGGGTCGGAGTTGCAACAACTCGTAACTAGCCCATGAGAATGTTGAGTTTAGATTTGTTGGCAACTTGGGCTCTGATACCAATGTTGGATGGTCTTGGGTCTCTCTTAGGGGAGAGGCTTTCTCTCATACTTTTTAACCGACCACTAGCCCTTTCCACAACCGATGTGGGACAACCCCAATAGATTTGCTTTTTATAGAAGCCTTCGGCACCAACAGTTGCTCCTCCGAGAGGTCGCTCAGTTCTGCTTTGCTCTATGACATTTAGGGCGCTCATGATAATCATTCTGTTTCTCTGTTTTTCTATTTTTCTATTCCCGGAACAGATTTGGAACCAAAATTCGTTTGGTAATGCAATTTCAATATTGTATTTCTGAAACAAATTTCTATTCCAGAAATAGGTTTGAACAGAAATCAGAAGTAAAAATTTTATAATTTTCTATTTCTGAAACAGAAATGAGAAATAAAAACTTTTGTCATCGCTCGCCATCGCTACTAGCTGGCCGCCCACCATCGCTGTGGGCCGCCTTTTGCCATCCGTCGCCTCTCGTGGCGGCCCGCCGTCCTCTGCCGCTCCTTCCGCCTCTCGTCATTGCCCGCCCGCTTGCAGGCCGGCCGCCTAGGAGGGAGAAATTTTGTGTTGTTATCAAAAGAATTTCTATTTCTGAAATAGAAATTTTGTATTGTTATCAAATGCGTATTTTGGCTTAGAAACTCGTCCATGGAATATGATGATTATCATTCGCGCCCTTAGTCCCACGTTACGATATGATTCAAGTGCTTTGCAACTTCCTCGATGCAATTGCCCCCCGTTGCTCAAGGCTTGGCTAAAAGTATCAGTTACTGTTGCCGCCCGATCAAACCATTTGTCCATTGATAAACGCCCTAGGCTCACTTCAGTTTTATCTTTGCCGGAGCTGCGTTCTGCGTTTCAAGATTGACTGCTGATTCCATTTCCTTCCAGGCCCGCCTTATGGCCGCCAGCAGGAGGATAAATATCGCTACTGCCAAACAAGTTAATCTGTTTCTTCTGAATGCTTGTTATGTTCAGTTGAACTGCTTCTTTGAAGCACCATAAAGTCGAGCTTCACTTTACCGGTTTGACTTTGTAAGGGTATTCTGTTAGGATGACGCTACTGGGACAGGAACCTTTTGGTTGTGATGTTCAGGGCTAGAGAATTTCGGATTTTTCGTGGGTTGTGCTAGTGTCCTTTCATACTCATAAGGACAGGTAATTTTCGGTGAGAGGACATCGGATGAACCTAAAAGGTGGAGCCCAAGAAATGAATTGTTGGGTCACTGAAGACAGAGGACGATCCTGACTGAACAATGGCAAGTTCTAGTTTCTACTGCAACATGCTCTGCCAATCAGCGCGACAGTTGCAGGATCTGATTCAAGTTTTCGACGTCGGATGAGTTCATGCTTCATAAGAACATTGTTCATTCAAAGTAAGGTGGTTGAAAGTCAGACCTCAGATCCAACAATCTCGAATCCTAGTAGTGGCAGTGACAGAGGCTACATGTTGTCGACGCAGAGGGAATCTTCCGATCCACATGTGCGATCGCATTAAATCATTTTCCCTTCGCGTGAGGAGATCTTATTTGGATACATAAATAAAGACAATTGAACGGCTGACGCAAACAATGTGAACGAGTAGATCTAGTCCTGCTGCTACCAAGGATATTGATTTGTTTTATCCTTGAAGACTAATTGAAGTTTGTGGAGGAGAGAAGCTCGTTTTAAAATGTTGACCGCCGCGAGATCTATTAGGAAAACAAGAAAGTATAGGACTAGGGCAAAAACTTTTCCTTACGCGAATCCAGAGGGGCTTTGTCGTGGCTGATGAGCCAGCGACGTTGCGCAGAACATTCTTATATATACACTTGCGCATGAATAATATCTTAATAAGAGTGCCTAGTTGAAGAAGATCAAATGGCAATAACATATTCAAAGAGGAGAGAATAAGAAAACAACCGAAAGGGAATCATAACCTATGTTTTGATATGATATGAATGTGGTAACAGTTTACATTAACCATGGTAAACATTAAGACTACACTCTGATACGAGACTCAAATATTAAACTAGTCATTAGAGACCTCGAGTGTGTTTCTCTGCAATTGTAATGCGTGTACACGAGAAGCTTTGAATGTGGTTGCGACTATACTTGAAAGGTTATGAATGACATCGATTGATATGTCAAGGTCTGCATTTCATCCTAAATCTGAGAGCGATATGATATGTGGCCGCATCGTAAAATATGGAAACAATCATGAAACATAGAAAACGAAGTGAGTGTTAATCCACGAAAGAGTCTCATATACGAGGTTGAGCAGAATTAGTACTGCGCATTACAAACTACCTAATCTTTTAATAATTCATGGGTGATTAGTGCCTCAAACCCTGTAATTAAATGATGAGGGAGAAACTAATGGCGCGTTTCCAGGAAGCTGACGCAGCAGTATTATCAAGTAAATCAGGCTAAAACTAAAACCCAGCTAAGTTAAGCTGTGTTTTGTCAAACTTATTAGAAGGTACACCCTTTATTTAATTGGTTAGAAGGACAGAAATGAGGCCACTGATTTGGTTCTCATGTGATAAGTCACATGAGACATGTTGCTTAAATTTCCAGAGATTTCAGAGATGTTCAGGAATATATAATACTCAATTCATCATCACATGATCAGCTGCTTCCAAGCTCCAACCAGCTAAAAGAAACTCAGAGGAAGTATTAGTAAAATGAAGCATCTTCCCAGGAAATTGTTTTAGTAATGCTTGTTTTGGTTTTGGCCTTCATGGGTGAATGCTCAATGTGAAGAAGAAATTCTGACAAGCATTCCTCATATTATTATATGCTTCCATGACCAAACTACCATGTCCTTTTTATAACCCAAAATGCGTTTCTTTTCACCTGCTCATCTTCTTTTGCCATTTTTATAAGCTTAAAGATGAGATTGAACCAAAGACCACGTCAGCGGGCTACAGTGAGGACATATGACTGGCATCCAAAGTGTGCCAAGATGAAAATCAGTCTCTTTTAGCTTCTAAATTCCTCACAAACATGGCGTATTGTTTCAATATTTTCCATATATCTCCATAGATCCATTGTTTTTCACGTAAATATGAAAAGCCAAGCATCTCTGCAAG